TTGAACCGCGGAATACTGGTCCTTCACATGAAGCGTTAATCGCCAAAGCGAAGAGAACCAGAGATGAAAATACGTACCGTAGTAACAAGAGCAAATCTTGTTTTCTCCGTGCCTTCACACAGCGCCATGTTGCAACCATCACCCGGATGGAAAGTATTACTACTTCCTTCCGGTTTTAAAGGGCACAGAGGCGCCTCGTTATCCAATCACAAGCGTCCTGCCCGACACCAGGTGACAGTGCAGGCTCATTGTCGATGACGAGGTAAACACAATCACTGCACACTGCTTTCAGTGCAGCTAAAGGAAAATTCCACAAACTCTTATAATGAATTATTCTGCAAATACTGATCGCATCAAATGTGTGCAAATGTTACAAAAAAAAAAAAAAAAAAATACACCTTGGCCTTTATAAGAAAAGAAAAATATTTTCTAAAAGTCCCAATTACCAAGCCTGGGTTCGAACAGGGGTCTCTATGCATCACAGACACAGACATTGCCTCTGGGCCAAAGCGCCACACCAGTGATCACTTTCGAACTTTTAGTCTTTAGTGAAATTACACCATAGCCTTCATAAGCAAAGAAAAGAGTCACAATTGCAAGACTCGGCTTCGAACCAGGGTCTCAACGTATCACAGACAGGGACGTTACCTCTGAGCTAACGTGCTACAAGGGTTGTCTGCAATAAACTTCCATCTTCATCATCAAATTTGGTCATTTTTATTTTATTTATATTGAGATTTTTATATATTAAAGATGAGGAGTTTCTTTAGGAGGAAGAGGCCCTTGGAGCGTCACTGATTGATGGACGGGGCCGCGCCGGTGACTATTTAACCCAGTGCGCTTCCTCGTCTCATTCGTTGCTGAGTCATCATCTGAAGGAACGGTGTGAATTTTTTTTAACAAGCTAATAAAATAAAATGTATTGTGTACATGCCATAACCTACTTCGTGTCTTGGTGTACACTGACATGCGTTCTTTAAGGTCAGTTCCTCGTTATAGCTAAAGTATTTTATTTTTTTTAACCAAAATCTCCATGCCATCGTTACTTGGTTGAGTGTCTGTATTCTTGTGCATGTGTTTTGTAGGTCTCACCTGGATTCCTGGAGGACCAGCAGGTCCAACTGGACCTTGTTTTCCTGTTTCACCCTGAGAAATAAATAAAATGTTCAGTAAAATTGCAGCTTTTCTCTGTGCCTTTTTATCTGGAAAAAGTAACAGCCACAACAATCAGTTTGAAAATAATGCTGTGGCTGATTGATGTAGACTTTAAGTGTCACAAATACCATGCCTGGATTTAACCCAGGTCACCACAGTCGGGTGTATTCTCTTGGGCTAAAGTCCATTTTTTTCCCTATACTTTCTATTACTATGAAACATACTTCTTATGCTAGGACTATACTTAACTGTACTTTTGTATTTTGGAGACATCGTCACTAATTGGATATACAAACAATACAATGAAAAAAAAATCTAAGTTGAAAAAAATGTCAGAAAAAAAATCTCTTGATTGACTAAATGTACTGTAATGTAATACATTTAATTGGTAATCTTTTAGTTACTTCAAAACACCTGTTAGAAATGTTTAGAAAATGTAATGGACACCATTACATTTTCTAAACATCGTTTTAATCTGTTAAAATAACATACCTTCACACAAACCTGGATGCATCGCAGTAATGAGAAAGTTGTCATAAAACACAAGGAAATGCAAATTTAATTCATTTCTTTATTAAACATTCATGTTTTAATACTGAAACTATTGCATGGTGTACTAATGATTTCATGAAAATGAAAACAAGGAAGACTAGAGTGTTACTATCACACAATGATGCACGTTTATGCCCTAAGACATGCTGCCAAGTGAATAATTTGTGCTAAAAACCTCTATTTTTCCATTATTATTAAACATATAAATGTAATTAGTAATTCACTCACTTCAAAACATCCATTAGAGCAACCATTTTTTCCTAGGATACATTTGTTTCAAGCTGCTACAATAACAACATACATTCAGACAAACCTGGAAACACTTTTATCACACTTTTTACAGGTGCAGAATTTTAAGGGATCAAACAGTAGAGAAATATTGGTGTATATATATATGACAAATGGGTTCGTGGAGGGGTTCCAGCTTTTTTGGGAAGGTCCACTTATTCACTTATTCCTAGCAGACAGACATAATTAATGTGTTCCCAGGAACTCATCTCTTTTTCATATACACACACAAATCCGGGACTCTACACCTTTTCTGTCCTGGGGCATGATAGACTGAGATTGGAAGCTTGATGTTGTGTAAAATCATGTTTAATTTAACTGTTCTGAGTCAGCCATCTATTCTAGGTTTCATCCATCACACTGAAAGCTCACCTAATCATGGCTGACAACAACAAGAGTGAGAACGACAAAAGCACAGGCGCGGTGAGTTCACAGTCTTACCTATAAGTTGGACTGAATTATAGTGACACAGCTGCTAACTGCTCTCTGTAAGCCTTGGACACTGACAAATGAATATGCTACAAACCTGCTGGATCAGCCAGGAGGGTACAGATTCAACATTAACT